GAAAAAAAAAAAAAAAATATATCGAGATTCATAATTGCAATATAAGTATTTTTTATTTTTTGTAGTTTCAAATTTCACTAACGTTTGCCCTTAATATCACAACCTTTTTCAAAACTGCAATTTCACGACGACTTTTTCAATCTTACAAATTATATCACATTTTTCAGTTTATTGCAAATCGGCGCACCGATTTGCAGCACCCATGGAAACTATATCACAATCTTCAGTTTGTTCTTCTTCTGCCACATCAGCTTTTCTAGGTCTGGTTTTCAGAACCCGTGCACCAATTTGCTGACGATTGTGATATAATTTGCGAAAATGAAAATGTCGTGATTAAATTGCAACTTCGAAAAATGTCGTGATATTAGGGGCAATTTTGCCTTTTAATAAGGGAATATATGTGCTAGAAAGAAAATAGATAATACCTTGAATGGAAACTAGATTTCGATGCTCTAGACGAGTGGATAGCAAGTCCCTCAGTCGGATCCGACTGTTGTTGAAGACTTCTTGCATGGCCAATTGCCTAAACCGAGATATCAGCACAAGATGATTAGCTCAAAAGACCGAAACAACTAAGGATGTGCTTGGTAAGCATATAAACTAGCTTATTAGCTTATTTTTTATTAGCTTATAAACTTCCTGTTTTTTGTTTTCAAATAAGTTTGATTTGGTAGGACGAACTTTTTAAAAAAGCTCGAACTTATTCATAAGTTTCCTTGGGTAGTTTTTCAAATAAGCCTATTGAGATTTTTATTTCAACTAGTTTATCAGCTACTTTTACCAACACTTTTATCATATAAATCATATAAGTTAGCTTTTCAGCGATCAGTCATAAGCTATAAGCTCGAAAATTAAACTTATCAGCTAATTTTACCAAACATAGCCATAAGCTATCAGTTATAAGCTTGAAATTCACTTAAAACTATAAATTAGCTTATCAGTTTACCAAACATAGCCTAACAAGCATAATACGACAAATCGAAGCTCTGTAAACCTCGCCTAACAAGCATAATACGACAAATGGAAATGCACAAAATTCACGGACTAAGATTGTTATTACGGTAGTACTATAAAAACTAATAGTACCTGGGATTTAACAGCATTGATCAAACCAGGTGAAGAAGACGACGAGATGTTTTTCTCCAGAGGAGACGAACCTTTCACGAACGAGTGCTCGAGAAGTTGAGCTGCCGTGGGGCGGTTCTGGGGATTACGCTGCATGCACAACTTAATAAACTCTTTGCCTTCATCCGAAAGGTAATCGGGTATAGCTGGAAGTTCTTTGCTATTTCCAATCTTGAACATAGCTGCCACCTGTAAAACCAAAAGCACGGTATTATATTTATATTTATACGTTTATATAAAAAATTCTTGAAATCTCAAGGACCGAACTAACGAACCCCTTCATACTGGCTCCAAGGAGGTTTTGCTGTAGCCATTTCTAATACAGTGCATCCAAGACTCCATATATCAACAGGTAAGCTAGACCCATTTGAGTTCCTTATGACCTAAGCCAACAGCAAAAGAGGAAAAAAAAAAGAAAAAAAATAATAATAATAATAGTAACAGTAATAATGCAGCTGAAAGCAGTTGTAGAGTGATAAGCTAGATAAGAACGACAAATAATACGAGAAAGACAAACCTCAGGTGCCATCCAATAAGGACTACCCTTAAACGATAATGGGCAAGATTGGCCTGTAATCTGTTCAACCAGCATAAATTGCATAAAATCAAATCTACACAGCAAGACTATTGTGGCTTCAAAGAAAATTAAAATAATCGCTGGAATAAAATTTGATTCTTACATGCTTTGCCATGCCAAAATCTGCTAACTTAACACGGCCATTTGGATCCACGAGTATATTTGCACCTTTAATATCTCTGCCAATATGCACCGAGCAACAAGTGAAAAAAAACAAAAAAAGTTAAACGAGTAGCAAAAAGTCATACAAGGTAATAATAAACAGAAAACTGAGTCAATGAAAAGCATCAGATCACATGTACCTATGCACAGTGTTTGTGGCATGTAAATAAGCAAGTCCCGACAAAATCTGTTGAGTGTAACTGCGGATAGCAGATTCCCCGAGTTTCCCATATTCTTGAAGAATCTTGTGGATTGAACCACCGGATACATATTCTAAGTAAATATACAACTTGTCATCCACCTGATAGAACGAAACAAATATGAAATTATTAAATATAAGCTTTAGAAAATTAACTCGATGCATTATATCATACTACCAAGTATGGCCCCCACTAAAATGTGTTACATTTTTCGGTAATAGCTTTCATTTTTTCGAAATATGGTTTTAACTTTTAAGGCTTTCGCAATAGCAATTTTACTAAAATATCATGTTAAAAACTAAAAATATACCTAGTGATATGACAATCAATTTTTCAAACTTAAAAGACGAAGCTTACAAATAATGCCACGTTCTATTGAGACAACAAAACAACACGACTGACCGTTTCTGATCCATAATATTGGACGATATTAGGATGCTTTAAGCGACTCAACAATGCAATCTCCTGCACATAGCACAAATGATTGTAAGAAGTTCCTCATAGACATCATAAATAAATTGTACCGGACAAGAATGTATGACTATCTTGAATAGAACAAGTCAAGCTTCTCCGTAAAGAAAATGATCATGAGCCTCACTTGTCCCAGCTGCTTCGCACTTTCCTTCGATTTTGCATCGTCAGCAAATAATGTCACCTCCTTCATGGCACACATCTCTCCCGTTTCACTAAAAAACAATGGAATCGCTAAGCTTTAGTTCAAGAAAAAAATGAACAAAAATCATTTTTTATCAATCAATTTTTTTAACTCAACCCCACTAACTTCAAGATTATCAATATAATTAAATAATACCACTCAATCATTCTTACACATTACATCAACTTTAATTCAACTTTAATTCAGTATTCATCAACTCACATAACTAACCATCACTTCACATCATCTCTTTCCTACTTTTACATCAAATCAACTTTAATTATTTCATTTTAAATACTCCCTCCTATTCATAATAAGTGTCGTTTTGGGAAGTTGCACACTAATTAAGAATAATTTTTTTGCCAATAATAATCCTCAATAATAACCCTCATTAATAACCCTCATTAATGAAGATAGAGATGGATGTTTTAAAAAAAGATGAAGAGAATATGAAAAGACGTAGTGTATTTATTAACTAAATTAGGGTAATAATGGAAAAATATGTACAAAAGATCCAAAACGACATTTATTTTGGTTAATAGTTGATAAAGCCAAAATGACATTTAAAAAGAACAGGAGGTAGTATTATTTTAATATAAACATCTCAAAATATTATATCCAAGATCATGTCTTTTCTGATTACGTACCTATTAAAACCAACATAAACATGTCCAAACGTTCCCCTCCCGAGCAACTTCCCCTTTTTCCAACGTGAGCCAGGACTCGCAAGATTTTCTGCTCGTCCGGGACTTCGTGGTACTGAAGGTGACGTGGCAGCTGCATTAGGACTGTGAAATGGTGAAGAATTGGAAATTGTCACAGGAGGAAGAGGCAATCTGTGACTTTTCTGCTTAGCATCATCTGGCCAGTTACCCTGTGACTCTGAGTGCCCTCCAAATCTAGGATGAAGGGGTGTCACAGCCCCACTTTGGATCCTCGAACTTGGGCCTGGACTCGTCATTCGTGGGCTTGGATTAGGTGAGTACTCCGGGCTTCCTCTACTGGGCTGCTGCCAGAATAATTGGCCCAACATGTCTCCTCCCACTGAATTGTGTCCAGAGGTCTCTGCCGAGCCAGGACTGGAGCATTGACCGGATCCAAGAAAGAAAGGCTCCGGATAAAGTTTTGCAGGATTTGCCGCCTGATCATTACCGGAGGAGGGTCTCATAGGACTTCTTGACGGACTAGAAATCGAGCTATCTGGTGCGCTGTAAAGCACGCTTCGAGAAGGAACCTGTAGTTTCGCCACCTGGCGACTCAAAGGCCGCCTTTTAGGTAGTGAAGACGAGTTCTTTTCATTGGAGCAAAGGTTTACAGGTACCGGCAACTCCTTTGAGACTTGTGGTGCAATTGGTGACTGATGCCTTCTAGAATTGCTTCAGAAAGAAAATACAAGGACAAATGGCGAATTCAATCAGAAAATATATATATATATATATATATATATATAGTTTCCTTTTTTTACTATTATTATAAAACTCCACTCACTCACCCTGAAGGGCTACCCCCAGCAGCTCTACTTCCAATATTGAGGTCATTTGCAGGAGCACTGAGCTGATTTGAATCAACCTGATGATCATCACTCTCGACCGAACATTCGCTAGAAATAGAAGCCACAACCAATTCTCCGTCCAAGTCAGCAGCCTCCGGCTTGTGCCGAATGCGTGCAGGCCTCGGGAGAGGCAAAAACAGAGAAGTTTTTGAGACATTCGTCGATTTTGCGGGTTCGCTTTTTGCAGAATCTGTGCGAAAGACATTTGCCGAGCCTAAACTAGGTAAGGGGAGTGGTTGGGCTTGTGCTCGTTCGGCAACACTTTGTGATCGGGCTACGATAGGTGACGGTGATCTCGAATGAGACCCTTTTTCCGAAATAGTGTCACTCGAACGTCTTCTGGTAGATCCTGATCTTCCGGAAGATTTGCTTTCTGGGATCTTGAACTTCTTGTGTAATGTGTCGATGAAACTTTCTTTGGTTGTTTTCTTTTTCGCTTGCTTTGATGATGACTTCCCCCACCATGTAGGCATGTTTTCTGAACAAGAGGATGTGCACGAATAATTTTTTTTTTTTTTAACATATAATAGCAAGTTATCTTGACTTGTCCTGCCTTTCCATAACAACTTATTCTATATGCAAGTTGAAAGGAGCTTAAATCAAATGAACATCATATTTGCAGTAGCAGAAAAGAATGCATATTATCTTCATTTGTCAAAAAGAAAATACATTGGGTGTCATACAAAAATACATTAGGGATGAAGCTGATCCACTCACACTTATTCGATGATAACTTTCTTTAACTCTACAATAATAATATTTTGCAATGGCATGCATTATGAAAAAAATATGCATATACTTAAGCAAATAAATAAATACAAAATTTTGGATTCGAGCAACTGTAAATATGTTATCATTTACAAGCCTATCCAAACAAAAACATACAGACTCAACCACGTTAGATCATCAACTTCTTGCTTTCATTTGTAATTACATTTCTGTGTTTCCCTATAACAATTCCAATAGAACCGCAAGAACTTCAAATTCACCAAAACCATCAAACACATTAACTTCAACAACAAGATTTACTCATCATTTCACCCTGCTACATAAAACAAAATACAAATTCCCATCATATTCAACAGATTATTCACAAATAAAAATAGTAATAATGAGAAAAATCACTGAACCCTCAATAACCAAACAAAAACAAAATGCAATCGACAGAACAAAACCCCACTGCAGATCTACACATAGTACATAAAACTCGAGAAGACAATCAACTCGTTAAGTGGAACTAATCACTACTCAATCAGTCAAAAATCCCACCTCAAGTTCCAAGCTTTTCACATCCCACAAGCAAAACCAGCTCGAAATTGTTCTGCAAAACCCACAAAATTGGGGCGTTTGTTTCTGAAAATTCCAAAAACCCACAAAAGCCTAAAACCCACGCAGCAAAAGGGATGGAGTCCGTGTACTGTGTGGGCAAGTAAATTCGGAATTTCTCTGGAGATCGCTGGGGAGAGGAGACAGGGCGAGAGAAAATGGAGTTGGAATTAAGCAGTGGACTAGGGGGCTACTACAATATTTACGTCAGAAATTATTATTTAATGGCGTCAAAAAGGGAGTAATAAAAATATTAATGGCATAATAAATATCTTGTGAGTTGGGTGAAAATGGAATATATATGTATATATATTTGCTAGTATTTTTTAAGAAAATCCTTATATATACCCTCAAAATGTTTTTCGAATTTTAAGTATCAATTTTTTATAATTTGTATCAATATATTAATTTTATGTATTAATTTATTGTGTTTCGTACTAGTCTAAGTCAATGTGAATTTTTATGTGTGGGAATTCTTATAATTATATAATTTTATGTGTCAGTTTCTTATAATTCGTATTCATATTAATCCATGTAGATCAACGCTTTATCCGTATCTATTAATTAACTAACTTAACATATAAATAATACTTCAAAATTAATTATTTTTTTTATTTTTTATTATTGTTTTATATAATATATAAAAGTAAATGTCTTTTTATAATTTTATATTCGATATTCATATTGCATGCAAGGAATAAAAATATATCATTTGTAAATTGAAAATTCATTTATATATCAATGATAATTTTAATTAATTAAATTATTGTTTATCAATTTAAATAAACTTAACAATGATAGTGTAATATGAGTTGAAAAAGTTATATTATAGAATAGATCGAGTGAGTGTTACGGTGACGTGTGTTATTTTGAATAATATAACGATGCAATTTTTAAAATATATTTGTAAGTATAAATCGGTATGTAACAACATTATTATTGTATAAATAAACATAAATATAATCAACCATCATAAAATTGGATAAAAAAATCTANAATGGAAGCGTATCAACATGAAATTTGGAGCAAAACATTAATAATAATCCCAATAATAATTGAGGTTCGCTTTGACCATTTGTTTGATTTTTCTTTGCAAAATAATTAGATGAAATGTTTTTATGGTTTTCACCATTTCCTTCACCTCATTCTTGAAAACATGCAAAAAATACATGGGAATTTGATCAAGGAAGTGTGATTTTTTTTTCCCCTCTTCCTCTTTATCATCTCTTCATCTTCTTGTTTATTTGGATAGTTAAAGATAAGAATCTATGACCCGTCTAAAATATAATTTAATGTACATGATATGGCCAATTTAAACAATTTAATTTGTATCCTATTTTTAAGAAAATTATATTGTTATTGCTCAAGCTGAGATTTGGATTGACTCAATAATTGATACAAGCTTGAGTTTACCAAGTCTTGCGTTTAATAATATAAAATATGACAGAAACTGGGGGAAAATGGGTGCTGGCCCACTACCATGAAGGACACCATGAAAGAAGGGAAAAGCCCATATGAAGCCCAAATGAGGTTCCATCCCAAAACCAATTGGTGGAAGGAGGAGTAGCCCATTAGTCTTATAAAGTGGGTCTATTTTCCATATATGAACGATGTGGGACAATTCACAAGTGATATTCTAACAAAATATAAGAAATATTACCACTTTAAAAAGTAATATAAATAAATTAAGGATATTTTTACGGTAGAAATATGATTTTCTATCAAAAGATATGACGAGCGAGTTACCTCTATTAACGGTTCAAAAACAAATAAATGTGTTACTTATATAGATTGTGAATCATGTCTTCTATCAAAAAATATGACGAGTTATCTCTATTAAGTGTTCAAAAACGACTAAATGTGTTATATATCATAGATTGTGAATCATGTCTTAACGTGAGAACTGTTATTTTTAAGTACCCATGATTATTTGATTAACTGTATTTTATGCTATCTTAAGTAAGATTTATTAATAAAAACAATAACACAATGTGCAATAAACATTGTGTAAATAATAGTATCATATAACATTAAAATTTATATCATACACAATTAGAAACAACATCATAATTAATTTTTGTTTCAACATGCTCTCATATTAAATTTATAACTCTACTAGAATATAGAATAAATTGTGGTGGGTGAACAAGTGCATAAAGTGGAAATTTGAAGCATTATGTTTCCAATGGGTAAATTCTTTCACGCACCTCTTAATTATTTTATCTAATCTTAAACCTTAAGTAATTTAAAATATTGATTTAAGATTCGCATTTGATATTTAAACTCTGTGACACATTAAAGAATATATGTATGTCACAGCTAAAAATCAACAAATTTATAAAGAATTCATATTTAAAATGTTTCCAATTTTCACATATTCTACCCAACGCGCTAAGAATGACTAAATTTCAAATTTCTACATATTATATTTTTTTAAAAAAATAAAAACCATCACAGAGCTTGAAAAACTTGAAACTCGTGCGCATATCTAATCCACAAGACTTGAAATATATTATTCCCATTGAAGGGATGTCTTTTAATCATTTAATGTTGTGAATATCATGAAAATAGTTTTCAGAAAAAAAAAAAAAGAATATCATGAAAATAGTTAAGTACAAAGAAAACCGAACTAACACTCGAGACACGTAAATTATCAATATTTACGACTAACGTTTTCAAAATATAATAACTTGATTACCAATATTTAGGACAAAAATTTTCAACATATAACGAGTTTGAACTTGTGTTTAACGGTAAAATATACAATTACACGAGCTCTCATTAATGGAATTTCTTTTTGTTATCGCATTTTTAAGAATGAGAAGTGCAGGAACGTTGGGTTGGAAAAAAAGAATTAAATTTCTCCGTTGAAGTGGTTCCATTTTAAAAAATAAAGTATCGAAATGTTTTTTTTATTTTATTATTATTATTTTTTATTTTGGTACCGTTTTCGGTATTGAACCGTTTAAAACAATATCGATATCAATTTCGAATATTTTTTTCACGAACCGTTCCGTTTATCTTGATTAATTACCTTGATACAAAAAATTATATATGCATTTATATTATATATTTATTTTGGTATTATAATTTATTCATTAGATTATGGTTCAATTAATCCAAAATCTAAAGTAAAAAGCCCTATGTAAGCTGGCCAAAACAAATGCATTAACCCAATGTAAATTGATTTACCCACTAATGCGAATTGTACAAGACTAAACCTGTGAACTAGTTAATTGATGTCTGATGAATGAACTAATGTAATGTTTAATAAATACTTGATGATTTTGCTTTTTAATCTTTTTTTACATGAAAACTAAAATACGTTATTATTATTATTATCATTTTATTTTGTCCCAAATGCATTGTGCCGAATCGATTTGTCCCGATTTGACTATTTGGGACAGT